TTTAAGTACTGATCACAAGAATTAACTTAGTAAAATTCAAATTTAACTATTCAGATTCTGCCACCTGTAGCTCCTAATGGTTAAATGATTTATAAATACAAGCCCCTTTTAGGGCTATTTGCATGCCTTGGACTAGGATAGACTCCCTTTTACCTTTTTTTTTTTGGTACATAGGTTAGTTCTTTAAGCACTGATATGCTAAGAGGCCCTAGCCCTACATACTCTTAGGAGGTCATTCTTAAGACTCGCACCATATAAGGAAGCTCAAAGAAATGAAAGCTTTTATCTAAAGGATAAAGACCAGATATCATTGTATCTGCACAAGTATGAGCTTCTTGGAACACATGCCTCAGTCCATCATCCCATTCCTTATTGGAAATGTCTCTCTACCTAAACTTTTAAATTAAGTCCATATTTTGTGTAACAATAATCTAATATCTACAGGACATCCATGATAAAATTGACAGAGATGGTGAATTTATAATCCATTACCAATAATAACCAATCTTGTGGGGTTGACATACTAAATGGTCACCTTCGGAATGGGGACTATGATCCATGAGGTTTGAAAACAATAACTGCTGGTGTTTAAGAGGTCACGGAAAACCGTTGGATGCCATTTTCTCAGCATTATTAACTTAATTATTCTGGACAGCTACCTCTCACCTCATGTGATAGACAGAGCAACCCCGTCTCACTTCCATGGCGTTTGCTTCTACACGTTATGCCTTTCTTTTTTCTTTTTCTTTTTTTTTGAACTGTAAAGAAATTTTAATGATGGGGTACAGGGGGTACCGACCCATTTACATACCCAAACCTCAAATAACTCACAATTACAATGCAGACTTTCAAAAACTAGGCCTTACTAAAAGTGCTGCACCGCCCTTTCCCTCTTACAAATATTGTTTTGCAACTCAAGATCGGTTTTTGAATCCAGTATTCCACATATATGTCTTAACCTTAAGAAATGGTTCAAAGTGAAGTGGATCAATTGCTGCTCCGTTTATAGATAAAGTTTGTTAACAACCATATTGAGAAAATTACGGTGAAGGAATTGGTACGGTGCATCTTTCTTGTTCTTGAAAAATATATTTGAAATTGTAAAAATTAGACATGTGCACTTATGTATCATTTAAAACACAGCATGCCTCTCAAGTTTTGTCATGTAATTTAATACACTCTTTATGTTCTGTGGCCGTTTATAAAAGATTTATATTCAATGTAAAATTAATCGGTAATAAATGAAATGACACTTTCTTACACATGTTTTTTGAGTAATAATATTGCTATACTCTTACTTATTAGTGTCACACTCATGTTACATTTTTTTTTTTTTTATCTTAATTCACTATCATGCCTTTTAACTTATTAAAAAACAAAAAATATAGAATTTTGAGAAAAAAATAATGTAAATGTATAATAAATAATTATATTAACACTTTGTTTAGATTGAGAAAGTTAAGAGGGAAATGAGTGGAGAGTGAAAGAGAGAAAACACCTTTTCTTATTTGGGTAAATCATTTTAATGGAAGGGGAGGGAGAGGGAGATGAAGCTTCCTCCTCTTTTTTGTTTTCAATCCTTCCGATTTGGAAGGATTGGGAGGTTTTTCATTATTTAACTTATTTTTATTTTTATTTTTTAAATAAATATATAAATATTTTATTTTAACTATTTATTTAATTTTAATTTTTTAAAAAATAAATATATAAACATTTTATTTTAACTATTTATTTAATTAATAATTTTTAAAAATTTTATTATTCTTTATTTTATTTTTTATCAAATTATTTAATTAAATAAAAATATTATCATTTCCTCTTCTTTACTTTTGTCTATCCAAACAAAACTAATATCAAACTTTTCCTTCCCTTCCCTCCATCTCCCCTCCCCTCCCCTCCCCTTCCCTTCCTTTCCTTCGTTTACTAATTTTTATTCAAACATAGGCTAAAAATATGTGGTATTAACTATTTAAGGAATGTGAATAATTTATTTGGTATATTTCAATATGGGATTTTACCACTTGAAAACTTCAATTATTTACCTTTTTTTCTTGGCCTAGTTTTCATTTTGAGACTAGTTAAAAAAAATTCTAATTATACTTTTATAATCAACTACTAAAAACCAAAAAAAATCAAATGAATTGATTAAAAAAAGCCCTCAACGGAAATTCTGTTGCTGTTGTTGCACAATTAAGAGGGAATAGGCACCGCTAAAATCTTCAGAAGCAAGCAAGTCCCCAATCATCCCAAGTTCTGGGAACTCACTCCATTCTTTTAGGCCATCTGTCTCTGTGGATTTTCAACATTATATTGTCTCCCAACAATGATGAGATGATGCTCGTTCACCATGGATCGAAGAAACACCGAGGTTTCCTGTCCATCCTTTACTTCCTCCTCAATGTAAGTAACATATTTGTTATCCTTAACATCCTCCAATATCTTATCATTCAACACTGCGTCATCCTCAGACATCATAGTCCCAACATTGTTGGGGGCCTTGAGGTGAACAACGGTAAGGCCAACTCTTGCGTCCTGAGAAAAGCGTTTGGCTAGGGTCAGCGCCTCCTGATCATCGTTACCTCCCAAGAAGATGATGGCAATGCTGTATATAGATGAGCTAGCAGATGAATCCTTGGAACCAAAGCGTCTTAAATGGCGGCGACCTTCGATGAGCATCCCCACTGAGCAAGGGGCTGTTTTGAGGATGTTGCAATTCAAATTTCTAGTGGCTTGGTCTTCCGATTCAATGGTACCGTCGATAGACAACTGGCGGTGAAATGGAAGTATTATGAAGGACATCTGCTCGTCCAGGGCGAGATTGCAAATGTCTTCATGCATCAGATTTGGTGGAGAGATAACCGTAAAAACGTTGACCTCCACAGCTTCCCAATGGTCTCGCTCAAATTGGATGAAGGACATGATAACATTATCGGAGTAGGACTTGTTGGAGATCAATTTCTTATGCTTCTGGTGGGAAATGAAGATCGGTGTGGCTCGTCCAACGAGCTTAATGAGGTGAAGGACGTTGACATTGCGGGGGCTCTCTGAGGTTGGGTAGGAGGAATTCAGAAGGTTGATGATGCTGTTGACATTACTCGGTAAGTGGACGCAAGCAAGCAACCGCAAC